TAGATCAATGTTCTTAGAAAGTGTTGACTTGATACCTTTGATAGTCTTTTAACAACTGTAAATTAAGGTTTTTTTTACCTGTCCACTGACCATTTACATTTGGACGGACGTAATGTCACTTAAAACTTATGTAAGAATACCGATATCTTGAACATTCACAGACTTATTCATTTTAGATGCGAAGTGCATAACTGTCATAATAGTCTTAATTTTTAAAAACGATTTTCTGTAGTTGGCTTTAACAGACGAGCGTTTGAGACGCATGCGCTGCTCTTGTTTAACCCTAAAATTCGAACCTGTCATTTTTTTCTTCTTCTAGCAACCGTCATGTTATATTGATTTTTGTACAAATAGATTCTCGACATCTTTAAGACTTCATTAACTGACCAGGAACTTTCAATGATTCACTGCAGATGGCGTATTTGCAGTTCCTATAAATTAGACATGACGTCTTCGAATCTAATTCTAGTTAGCGAGGCAATCTCGGAAAGAGACATCAAGATTGTGTTGAGCGGTTTCCACCTATTGATCAGCCTGAAAATAATTTCTGATTGTTTTGTTAACGAGATATTTTTATTGGCATATACTTATCTCTCGGAATGCGGTTTTTATTCCATTATACCTGCTGCGCTTACTAACTGAAGACAACGTGTTGTGTCTTTATTATTTAATGATGATTAAAGTTTACGAATTTTACCAAACGTTGTTATTAGGAAATGAGGCATAGTTCTGGCTTTTTAATTTAAATTAATGCTATAGTGGTACTATAATTGGAAATGTTTTATTGTTTGCTCTCAAAATTTTGACACTGATATGTACTTCTAGTATTTACAAGGGAACGCTGTCCATAATTAGCGTGACATGATAAATTGGTTTGATATATTTTCTCAAACCTTTGACCTAGATTTTTGATTTGTAATATTACAACAACGCGTAAATTCAGTTATACATAAAAGTACCGCATAAGAGCAGGTGATATTTCTTAAGTTATTATAAAACTGCTTTCAGCAAACTAAGGGCGAAAGTGATACTCGTTTATCTGGAAAAAAAGAATAATGATTTACAGGAGTTTTACTTGCACTGTTGACCACATAGAACATGTAAAATAAAAGAGTTATGACTTTTCCTGTGGGCATTTAAGAAACGTGTGAATTTGCGAGAATAAAAGCTAGATATTTTTAATGATTATGTACTTTACAGTATGCATCAGTGTGCAATTTTTTTTTGTTTTGCGTGCAAGTTATTATGTTTTGCGTGCAAGTTATTTTGTTTTGCGTGCAAGTTATTTTGATTTTGCATCATTCTTAGCATAATTAAATCAATTTAGATTAGTAGCATAACTGTCCTAAAACAATTATGTAATACTGTAATATTTCGCCAGAAACAGAAAAAAAAATATGGGAAAAGGTTAAAAAGAAAACAAGTTATTTATTTTTCATGGCATCTTGACTTAATAATTCTTGTGTTATTTTTTTAAAACTGACATGTATAATTTTGATAATCAACTGTTGATTGTATTTATTGTGTTATAATTGTTTAATTATTTAAGTTTCCAATTTTAAAAATGGTCATTTACATTTTCTTGCTGATTTAATATATGAAGAGTTAAAGCGGAGTGATCTAGTGATTAATATGTCTGGCTCACCCAGGGATCATGAGTTTGAGCCTTGGCGCGTTAACGTACAGGTTTCCTTATTGAACAACAAGTACAGATTTGTTCAAGGAAGTTGACTGCAAAGTGGTTCGAATCAGCTACTAGAGAGGTGTAATGAATTATGTTTAAAGCTAAAAAAAAGTTTTTATTGATCTTGACTGTCTCTTGACGCATATGTATTTTATTGCCATTTTATCATATTACATTTTAGGCATGATTCTTTGATAAATACTATCAAGCATTGAATCAAAATTAAATAAAAACGTGCAATCTTAATTAACTTACTTTGTATACAGTTAATCTGCCTACAGATACCAAATTGTGAAAGTAAAATAAAAGGTCGTTGTATAAAGGTGGCCTCATATTTTATATAAGTTGTTTTACACAAGAATACGTTTTATAAGAAGTATTTGAACATGATGTGGTATGCTTAAAGCAGCATGCCTCCAGACATATGCTAATGTTCACGAAAATTTTGAAAATGTTTTTGAAAGTAAAATACTGTGAAAAGATCAAAGAAAATAATTAAGACAATGCAAACGGCACTTACAATCCACGTAAATTACCAAAAAGAGGTCAAAATATACATAAAAACCTTTGACTGCGTTAGTAACTCAGTAGAGTTATAGTGACTGATACTGCAAAATCAGTCATAAATCGCACATAACATGTGAATAATTTACTAAATATTGAATCTTTTTACTTTTCCTAAGACCTTAATACATTTTTCTAAACTGAATTTCTTGAAATATTTTGGCTCATCTGGAGGCGTGCAGCTTTTAAGTATGTTGTCATACATGTTTTACTACATAACATAATACTCGTTTAAAACACAACAGTCACAAAATGAATCAAAAATATTGAGAGAAGTTCTTATCTTTTCCTTTATATAATAATTTCTAGCTATCAAGTTACTGACACTCGATGTTATTGTAAAGTTGATTTTACATCCCGTATAATTAACCCGTGTCACGTTAATATACTATTGTTAAACTTTGGTTCAAAATTTATCTCAAGGTACTGACACTTGATGTTATTGAAAAGTTGATTTTATTAACCCGTGTTACGTTAATATACTATTGTTAAAACTGGGGTTCAAAATTTATCGGTAAGCCCTGTTTATAAAAGAAAAAATGGGGTTTATAAAGTACCCAAGCGTTACATTTAGGCCGGGCTAACATTCGTTTTTTTAAGTGTATAAACTGTTACTAGTAAACGTATTTTGTTACGGTTGAAATGCATTCTTAATCGACAATCTAAACGTGCATGTTCAATAAAATGAGCCGTGTCACGACAAAACCAACATTCATCCGCGCAGTCTGATCAGGATCCATGCGTTTCGCTTGCAAACTCTATAACAAGTAGAGAAACCGATAGCGAACAGCATGAATCCTGATCAGACTGCGCGGATGCGCAGGCTGGTCTGGATCCATGCTGGTCGCAAACCCATTATGTTGGTTTTGTCATGGCGCGGCTCAAATAAATGAATGGCAAAATTGTCGTCTGCAAAAGATTTTATCTATAATAAGCGATAAGTCGGTTACTGAATGCCCCTGCAATTTCTTACTTATATTTTTATGTGAATTTATATATCTTTGTACAGTTAAATGCCTATTTTCTGTTCTCCTTCATATTTGTTTTCGAACCTGTTGCCAGCCATCTTTTACTTACTTGTGATTTTGGCAATAAGTACAGTTATAATGATTAAGTATTTTGTATTGAAGACAAAATACAATTTTCTTTAAATTTTGACACATTTATCACAACTTATTTCACAAATAGCGTTATTTTCAGTTGATAAGCATTTCATATATTTTTAGTCTATTATTACAACATCACAAAACATGTTTGCATTTTCCACAATACTATGATAAAATATCCATTTCTGAGGCTAAATGTGCCTTTAAACTCTAAACGTGATGTAACATATATCTTAGGCATTTACTACAAAACCATGCTGTAAAGGTATTAATTCTTAAAAAGTGAAAATGAATAGTCACATGTTTTTCAATTGTGCATACCCGTGTTTAATACTATGTAAAACAATTGATACATTATTTGTTTTAAATCGCTTTATTTTCTTTATTTGCACTGAACATATCATATTTAAGTCAACAATGATTTTATTTAATATCAAATTAATACCAATTGTAAATGACTATGTAAACTAAAGGATCTGGTAGGTTTGTAAATTACTTATTAATAAGAATTTAAGAAGTCAAGTTGAATTGTCATACTATGCTTATAATAAAAAAAAATGCAATGCGTTAATCTGTTATGGAATATGGTCTGTTTTTATTTTTTCTGTTTAAATTGTGGTGGTATCAAAGTTTTAATGCAAAGCACAACATTATTTTATGAACATAACTTAATACCATTGCATAGTACATTGTAAAATAATTTCATTTTCTTTCACGCGAACGATAAAGTTAATTTTTTACATCTGGTTAAATCCCCGTATTAAAGTTGTTTAAATTAGCATTTAGGTTTAACGTATTCGTCCCTTATATAACGAATACGTTTGTCACGTTAATCACAACTGTCTATCTAGTATATTTGTTTTGGATTATTGTGTATTTTTAATTGCGCAGTGACTAAATACCGCATTGACAATGGCAATTTCTCCCCCAATCTTTAGAAATAATATTGTCCGTCTTTAAAATTTTGTAAAAATAAAACTACTCTAATCGAAGAGACATGTACGTTTTGTATATATACACTTTATTGAAGTATACAATAGAGAAAAACGGTCTACGTGTCGTGTTCAATTCAAAAGTAGTTTAACATATGTTTTGATATTTTATAGTGTATTAACAATGAAAGATGAACTAGTATGGTAATTATTTGAAAAAAGAAAAATCTATATTTACGGGTGTTTAAAGTTATCTTCTGAAGAAATGAATGTGTTTTAGTGTTGTTTTTTTGTTTCTTGTGTTTTTCAAAACGTAATTAAACGGATTTACTTATTAAATTAAAAATGGAATATTATCATAAAAAGAATCAGAAGCAATTTTAGGAAACAATAAGTGTGCTATAAACAAACAAGAAATAGATTAAAAGTTTGGATTTTTATGTATTTATGATTACTTTTAAAGCGTTGTAGCTTTGTTCTTAGTCAATTATGACTGATTGCTAGTCACATGTGCTCTATGAATATAGGATCAAATGATCAGGTTAAAATGTCTAGTCAATGGAAACGGAATGTGCTAGAAAATAAAAGAGAAAAAATAATGTTTTATGAATTAAGCTCATTTGAAAGTCACAATTTTACAAGTAAATGGTAATAAATAGAGATTTAAGTGATTGCTGAAACAAAATTACAAGAACGGGAGAATTTTTCAAGAGACGGTGGCATTTTTATATTGCACTTCTCTTGCATAATTTCATTTGCTATTCCACTTAAATATATCATGACCGGAAGCCTTGGTGGAAATTTGGACCATGTTTTCTGAACCTTTTAACTACATTACTTCCGTTTTCCGTGATCTTATAGGAAATAATCCCAATAATGAAGAGTCTCCTGAACACGAGGATCTGTCTTCTGAGCGAACGCTGTCACGTAATCGCTCACAATCACGTGACAAAGTGTCGTCTGCAAGTGCTGCAGCGACGCAGACTCAGACCACGATAGAAATGCAGGAACTGAATGCATCTAAACTAAGGGAGGCAACTGTTGTAAGAGACGCTGAGTATGAGGAAAGAGTTAATGAAATGTTAGCAGAAGTTACGAGTAGGGAAACTGGATATTCCTCCGATACAGATAGCTATGAAAATATTTCTATACATTATAACGATACAGATGAACCAGTTATCAGTCGTGACACGTTTGAAAGAGGAAGCGGTCCTAGACACCGAAATGTTTCTTCTCGACGAGAACTTACAGCAGACGAAATTCAAATAGAGTATGAGTCACGTGACCGCTTATCGCCAGGTGTAAATGTAACGCGAAATGACATGGGGAGTAATGCTTCATCTACTCTGGCCACTGTTAGAAGACCAGAGGAGACATTATTGAAGGACAATTCTAACAATATGCATTCAAATGACGCCAGGGGTGCAACTAATATGGGTTTCGAGGATGGTGAAAACGAGGCAGCTCAAAACAATCTTGAGGAGCTTGATGTTATAAAACCTCTTCCGAACATAGCGTCGGTTTCAAACATTTTTATGGAGCTCAAAACAGGTAGAAATAATTCAGGCAGTCCGGAATTAAATTCCAATTTGCAATCGCAAGTACCGAAGCGTAGATTTAGCGCCGCAGCTGAATGGACAAAATTGGCAGAAAATAAGGCTGTTCTAGCATCTGGCAGCTCGACCACAAGTTTTCTTTCAACAAACCCCACTGTTGCTGCCCGACTGACTGAATCATATCAGCGTGCACAGAAAAGGGTCGAGTCAAGACGGCCATCTCTTTATTCCATTGTACGCAAAATTCATGCGGAGAAATTAGCCAGAAAACTTCGGGCCTTTATAGACCATAACGCTGACTCATCGTTCCAGTTTAAACAACCAAAGTATTACATGCAGGACTCTAGCTCTAGTGACGATGAATTCGTACCACGTGACCCATACAGCACAGTGTTAAGGAAACGGAAGTGGTATGAGCGTAAACCGAAATCAGGGACGGAAAGATTAATGCAAACCAAATTCTTTGGTAAGAATTTTCGTCATTTCAGGTATCATATAGTGTAATCGTATGCCATATGTAAATGCCCTCCTTTCAATTTCATGGACCTATAGGCGGACCTTGATATTGATGCCCCTCCACTCCTTTTCCCACCCTTGCACCCTCTCAAACAGTTTGGGCTTGTGTCAATCAATGTGCCCTGCCAGCGTTGCTTACTTGTTTCAGGGCTGCGTTCTGGCCACCTTTCCTTGTTTTTAATAGTATTCAAGATGACGTCAATGGTCTGATGTAAAAGTGTGGAGAAAACTTGCTGTAATACTTCCTCACGTTCTCCTTATGCCTGTTCCCATAGTCACTTTTTAAATTTACCGGTCCTTACATTTTATTCAATAACCGATATAAAAAATTTACTTACAAGCTTTTTCAAAATTATTTAAAAGACTCTGACACAACGACACCCAAGTGTTGACACATGTACGTGATGAGAAATAAAGTGTAATATATTTCTATATGATGTCATCTCATGATATTGTTAAATGTTAATCTAAAAGTTTCATATCATAAATAGCTAACTAACTCGGATAAAAATCAGTGTATTGTTTTTGTTGTCATTTTTTTCTATACCATCCACAATACAAAGAAAGCCGGTCAAAAAATGAGTGGTAATTATTATGCATATACTTCAAATAATATGAAAATCAATATCTAGATGAATTGTCATGCTATATAAAAGGTTTTTAACTTTAGTTTATAAAGTTTTGGGGTATTGAAAATAAGAAAAAAATAAAATGAAAAAAAAAGAAAAAAACTTAATTTAAATACATTTGAAGATTTAGCTGCGACATTACCTATATTTTTTTTTATAAAACTTAAAAGCCCATTTGATATACCTAAAAAAATATTTCTATCTTTCAAAAGCTTTTTTATTCTGATATATTTGATGGTATACAAAAAGTTACACATTGGCCAATTATCTGAACCATCTTTTTCATTTGCAGATATAAATTCAGTGATAGTGAATAAGAAGTTAGTATGGAAGTCAAAATACTACTTTGTTTACATTTTACTACTTTAATAACAAATTATTTTGCACCTGTCACTTTCTTCAGATACATGTATCAAGCATCTTACATTCTCTGAAACATTATTTATTATAAAATTCATGTATAACCTTTCTAAGGAACTACAAATTGTATTTGTTTTTGAGGCATAATGTGCCTTTAACCTATGATAATTATACCGGTTATTTTACAAAGTTCAATTTTGATATATGATACGTATTACATTATACAAAAAACAAAAAAATGTTGGTTTCATTTGTATATATTTCATATAAGAAATCGTAACACATCATCTTTTCTTGACTGACAATGTCAAGGTCACAGCTAGGAAAAAAATGAGATCAGACTTATTTGATAGCTTTAGCTCAGAAACAATTTAGAGAAATAGATAAAAATGAGACAGAATATGCCAGATGTGTATGAAATATTTGTATTTTAGGCCTTTTTTCTGAATTTCAAATGAATACGAATCTCCGTAAATCATCAATATAAAGATGATTAATGTAACAGCCAGGAATACCTAAGTGATGAAATTTACCGAGGGGTGTTATCATAACAGCTTCCATAGATCCCATTAGTTGATTCAATATTGTACAATATGCGCCGGTCGATTAAGTACTTTTTTCGTGTATATTATAGAACTGGGCGACAGGGAAATGGGCATTCAGAGCGTTCTAATAGGCAACATTAATACTTCAGTAGTCTAGATCTTTGCTTTTATTAATATTATACAATAATAGCAATAATAAAAATGTTATTCTTGTTATATTCGTTTTTACAGTTCCCCATTCCGTCTTTTTATTTACATGTCTGCATTTACTGTCATGCATAGATCCCTGACCTGTCTGATTGTAATCATCAGATTAGTGGATACAATAAGAATTTCACCACAACATATTTGTTAACAAAAGAGCACATGCCAATGTTTTTGGTTAAATCTATAGTTATTCAAATAAAAGATCAATGTATTGATCTATCAATTGTTATAATGATTTCTTAATCATCAGCTGAAACAACGAAAGCAGCGGCAATAACATCATCATCGTTCTAATAATAATCATCGTTATTTAACACATCATCGTTGTCAGTAGTATTTTTAATGATGGTAATGGTCGTCGTTTTTAATTATGATAATTTTTATTCGTAACGTTATTATTAATATGATAATAACTAATGATAATAACAGATGAAATGATAAAATGATAAAAAGAAATACTGATATTAGTTATGATAATAATAATTATAATAGTAATCACAGCACGAATGAAATTATCATGATCATAATTACAGTATTCATCATTAGAAATCAATTTTGATACTCAATTGATATTAATACGTTTATACACTTACATGATTATAGAATATAGCACGTGATGATTTATTGATTAATCGATCTTGTTGCTGTATTGCTCGGCAATTAAAAGGAATATTTTTATAACCACATTGTTATAAAGCAGATTGCACTAACTCGACTTTTAATGATACACTTTTTTGTTCGCTAATCCTTTCATTTGTTTGGTGGTTTATTCGTCCGTCTGTTTGTTGGTTGACGGGTTCGTTTATTCGTACGTTCGTTCGTTCAGTCACATTTATTTATTAACTTGTGACATTACAAGATCATATATTACACATATCAATCAATGCAAACTACTTTATATACTGGTTGAGAGAGTGAAAATAATAGCATCTTTAGGTGTTAACATCATCATTTTGATAATTTCAATAAATTATGATATAGTGGATTTTTACGAACTTATAATTATTTGATACATTTTGTATTTTTAAAGATCATGGGTCATAGCATTTTTATTTTAAACTATGGTTAAATATAAAAAAATGACTTGGAATAATAACATAAATATAGGTAATATGTACAAAATGGGATTTCACTTAAAAAAACACAAAATTCCTCTGCTGAATTTTGAAGGAGACTATCGAATCGTATTTTGTCTTTTGACTGACTACAGTTAAACTTTGTTCCGGGCAATGGAACAAAAAGTCTTTATGTATGTATTTGTTTTATGAAAATATTTTAAAGCAGACGAAACAAAACTGACTAAGTTTTCGAAATTTTAAGCGCTACTTTTTCGTCATTACATGATTTTATGATAAGATATACACCTTTAATGCATTTATGTAGATAATTCCACGAATTTAATTGTGATAAAAAAAGAACATGTTTGGATTACAGAATCGGTACTGCTGTACAAATTCTTCCTTCCTCAGTTGTGAATTCATTGGAGGTTTCGGTCCGTTTTCCCATCTGCCGTCCCATTTGTCGCTGAACTAGAGTTACAACTCTAGCCGGGAATGGACAAAGCTTTACAGTGTTCTGTTCATGAGTATTTGAACGGGATTTACTGACTAACTATTGTTTTCGAACCCTATCCAGGCTCTTCTTTCTCGCCAATCATCAATATGAGATGACTCGCTTACGTTCTATGGTCGAATTTTGTAAATCTTTTGAACTATTATTCCGGACTTGAGGTATAACTAATCTTAAAACAAATTCTAGTATTATTTGGTTTGTACTATCGAGTTCAAACTACCTTTTTACACTTAATATATATATTACTATGTTGATTTTTACATTTTAGAAATAAATATATTTATAGACATTCTTTAGATAAAGTTGAGACCTCTTTCTAGATCTTACAGCTGCGCTCTACTGATACAAAACAAAATGCTATTCTAATATCAATACAGTAACCGATCGCTTGGTTGAGCGTAACTGTAGATTGTATTATTTTCTATGGGGAAATATGATACTTTTTTCTCTATAAAAGAAATCACTTGTATCCGAACTGTCTTGAGTTATGGTGATTCACTTTTGACCTCTCTTAAACATGGCATTTCTTAGAAATTTTAACAATTTCCGGATGGATTTAAGAACTCTTTCCTACGGAATTCGCGACCTGATTTAGTATTAATTTATCAGGGGAAAATCATTTTTATGATAGTAGCATATCATTAACAGGAGTTCCAAAGGAATAAAAGAAGTTTTGTCTAAAAGCAAACAAATGTGTATTTGTACATGTTGTAAATGTATTATTCCAAACTTTTTTTTAATTCACTGAATATTGCAACCATACAAATTAAAGTTTGTTTAATGGACGATACTTTTACAATATTTTAACTTATGACAAAACGTTATATAATACATAGTGAGTTCTAGTTAAAATGGAACCATGGTGACTTAAAATATGTTTGCTATAGTCTCTAACGGAGTATATTAAGGATAATTGCAAAAGAAAAGAGACTTTGATAGGAAGTTGATGAAAATGAAGAATTAGTGAGAATAATGGAATGAGTTAGATTTATACTGTAGTAAAGTAACAAACTCAAAGCATGGATAAGCTTGTTACGGCTCACATTATAGGTAAATATTCTACATACCAAATATTTATTATTCTACATATATGTTACACTTGCTGGAATATGTAGAAATCTGATATATACTTTTCATTATTCTACATAGTTCTATATTACTCTAGTTCGAGTATGTAAAATTCTGATATGTACATTGAATAGTCAGCATGTTTGTTTCTTATCTGAATATAATGGTCGTAATAGTTTGCTTAGTTTTTATGGTACTTTATACTTATATACAGTATAAAACATCCTACATATATAAAAGTATGTAGAAGTCTTACAGGACCTATTCAATATATAAAAACCTACAATAAAATGATGTTTGACACATATTATATATTTTTTACATATATGATAGATTCAACATAATACTGTGTATTATATATGCTACATATTACATATACACCACATACGTAAATTATTAGTTATATATGTTGCTGACGATATATATGGGAGAATATAAAAAAAATTAAAGATTTATATTATCCAAACAACCCGGCAGAATTAATTTATCATCATCATCATCATCATCGTTTATTTTTTATACTCTTCATCATACATTTTAAGTTGTAATATGCGTCCATTTGAATAAAC